AAGAGAAGAAAACGAAAGGAAAAGAAGAGAGAAAAATAAAAAAATGAAAGAAACGTAAGTGAAACAGAGGAAGGAGGATGAAATTGAAGTCGATTCTGAAACCGGTTTGAGGTTGGGAACTTGACTTTGGTAAGTTTTGGAATTTTAAACACTGAATTTCTAGGATATGGACTCCCTTGCTTTGTGGGTTCGTGAATCACAAGTTTATTTGGGATTGGAATGAAATGGTCTATGGGTTTGTTGCTTTGCCTAAGAGATTTCTTGAAATAGATGTTGAACTTGGCTTTCTATGTGTTTTGATCACAGATTGGGTGGTAGTATTTGCAAAGAAGAAAAAAAAAGGAAATGGAAGAGGAAGAAGCCACGGTTTGGGAAGAAGAATATGAATAGTGTAGAGGAGAGAGAAAGACTATGTATTGGGAATTAAACAAAAAAAAGGAAAAGGAAAATAATTGGAAATTGAACCAAAGGAAACGTGAAGTGGGTTTTGGTTGGAAATAAATTGGGGTATAACCAATGGTTAATAACCAAGTTGGAATTTGTGAGTTGTGGGTCCCACTTGTAAGGAGAATGAGAGAGAAAGAAGTGTCATTGGATTGTAGAGAGAGAATTGGGTTATTGATTGAATTTATGGTTTAATTTGAAGAATTGTAGAGTTTAATTGGAAATTGGGTGTGAATTGAAATTTCATTGGTTATTATTTCAAGACGATCGGAAATTGGAGCAGCGTACCAACCCAGTTCACCTCGTTCATAGGATTTGTGAGTGGTTATTTTAGTAAACGTTTTTGGATATTATTATTAACTTGTGAGTGGTTATTTTACTAAATATTTTAAGATATCTATTATAGAACTTTAAGAAAATATATATTACGTATGTTTGATTATTTTTGCTGAAAAATTGAGTTTGCTGAGAATTTATGAATGCTTCTGAGAACATAGAAATGTTTTATGATTTTCTGAGAAACTGTGGTGTTTACTAAATATGATTAGAAAGAAATATGTTTAGAAATGATTTGAGAAAGAAATGTTCTTAGAAAGAAGAAAAGAAGAATTTTAGAACTGTTTATAAGATTGAGAATTTTATGCAGAAATAAGTTTTCAAACCACCATATTGTTGTATCCAGGTGATTACCCGTATGCTATGTGAATGTGTTTCTATAGTATACCCAGAAATAGAAGGTCTTTGGGACCATTTTACTCTGCGTGTTGAGAGAATTATTATGCTGTGTATATTGAGATTACTCTATGCCAGTGGATCAGAAATAGAATTATTCTGCTGTGCGTATTGAGATTACTTTACGCTAGTAGACCAGAATAGAATGTGGATACATATATGATATTGAGTTTCCTTAATCTGTTTAAGTTTGAAAGAAGATATTTGATATGTATTTAGAATGTGTTTTTTAGAATGTATATGAAGTTTTGCTGGAAAAGCTTATCATTTAAACTTAAAGAAGTTTGTTATAAGAGTTTAAATTTCAGTTGTTTATATGGAAGAAGTTTTATGAAACTATTTCCTTATTAAAATGCCACTCACGGAGTTTCCTAGCTCATTGTTTATCATTGTTTTTCTCCATTAGGCTGCACCTGAGTTTCATAGAGATAGCCGACCAATTTCTGCCACTCACCGTCTCAGAATTTGCATATCATTTTGTATGTACATCTAAAATGACTTATACTGGAATAGTTGTACCTTTTGTGGTTGTACAACATGTTTAGAAGTCATGGTCGAATAGTTATTTTTGAAATGAATTATGTTACACTTTATGTTTTATATGTTGAAGAATAATCTAAATTAGTTTTAGAAATTTAGAAAGACGTTGACTATAGACTTGGTAGATGGTTGGAGGTCTATGGTCGGCACGACTTGTCCTATAGTTAGTAGGTGTTTAGGGCAGGTCGTGTCAATAGTCCTCACGGCTTTGCTTTTGGTTTCACCTAAAAGACTTCATGCCAATGGAGATGGTTGTTCTATCTTATATACCTATGATCATTCACTTCCCTAGCCAATGTGGGACTTTGTTTGCACTCCTTACGAACCCAATACGAACGTTGGAGCCACCAGAGGGACTTGGGCAAGCATAGACCACTGTGCCAATACGTATTTTGTTGTTCAAAAGTCAATCTGTATATATTAATTATATATTATA